GGCACTGGCACTGGCACTGGCACTGGCACTGGCACTGGCACTGGCACTGGGACTGATACTGGCACTGGCACTGGTACTGACACTAGTACTGGCACTGGCACTGGTACTGACACTAGTACCGGCACTGGCACTGGTTCTGGTACTGGCACTGGTACTGGCACTGGTACTGACACTGGTACTGGCACTGACACTGGTACTGGTACTGACACTGGTACTGGCACTGGTACCGGCACTGGTACTGCCACTGGTACTGGAACTGGCAATGGCATGGACACTGCAGACAATGAACCCCTTCCTACCTCGTCTGGGGAGTTTCAAGAGAAAGGCAACCCTTATATTGAAGAACCAAACACTGTTGAGGGGCAGCAAGATGATAACTCTGGTTCCAATCCCCCTGATGACGGATCGTCCGGCTCAAATGATGATCAGAAAAGTAGTCCCCCTCCGCCCCCTCCTCCCCCTCCTCCCCCCCCAGATTTACCCGATATGAGCACCAATGACCCGCCAGTTGTGTATCCTCCTATTGAACCAACACTGGCCCCAGCTGTGCCCCAGGATTCAACAGGGATCAGCAAGACAGCTGCTATCGCTGTTATGGTCGTTTCTGCTGTTACAGCCATGCTTTTCACAGCAGGGACTGCTATCTACATCTGCTATACATACAAATACTGCTGTTTTTTTAAAAGAAGGTGGCGGCGTTCTTCAAGTGGCCGCAGAACATCTGGATCTGTTCGCAAGGATCGACGCAGCACCGATAAAGGCAAACAGGAAGCGGGAGGAGCAAGCACCGTGGGTGGTTATTCCGGCTATGCCAACCCTGCTTTTGAGTAGTCCAGGAAGCAGTCTTACCTGAGATTCCTGTCGTGATATCATCGTCCCAACTCAAAAGTGCCAATCCACTTTCATCTGTGGACGCCTCGCTGGGAGCCACTTTGTTGGCCGGGGGTATTGCTATACACACTCTCTTCTCTCCTCCAACTCCTCTGGGCTTTAAGTCGAATGGGCCAGTTCACTCTCGGTGGATTGTTGCTCTGGCTTACACAGGTCACTCGGACTCAGGGACAATGTGCATCCATCTGTTAGTTTCTCTCGCCATTCTCGTCCCGGCGGAAAAGAAACGGAAGAGGCGAGTGAGGAGGAGAGGGAGGATGAGGAGGAGCTGAGGAAATTCTTCCTGCAGTAGAGGAGAGGGAGGAGGAGACGTAGGACGAGGAGCTGAGGAAATTCTTCCTCCGGCCGCTAGAGGAGAGGGAGGGGGAGGACATGGAGGAAGAGAAGGAGCTGAGGCAATTCCCCTGCTATGTTCCTAATCCCCTTTTGTGGGAAGTGTGCGGGTGATCCCTGTCTCGCTCCATGCCTTTCCGAGGAGGACGATCGGGGTAGATCCTCCTGTCTACGTATCAGATCTTTCCAAACCTCAATCCGAGAAACGGACAGAAACAGAACGGGCTTCCTAGTTTCACTACTTGCCGCTCCCAGCATCTCTGAGTTGCCATTGTGACCTTCCTCACTCCTCCGAGTTCGCTCAGTTAGGTCATATTTCGGCCAGTATTACAGCAATTGCACGTGAGTTTAAACTTTAAACGAGCCGGGTTTATTCACAATACATCGAGCACAAGCTTACCTTTTCTCTTTGTAGCGTGTCACTTCTTTGTTTATCGCTAGCAAGGGTGAGTTTGTTCTTCCTCTGTATAGCTTGAGCTTGGTAAGGTGTGGTGAACCCTCCCATGTAACTCTTGGTCAAGTAATCTCGGGTAATTACGCTTGCGAGCGTTGCGTATCCACTTTTCGATAATTATGTTCGGGCAGTTGCTATCAGGTAACTATTACAGCCTGATTCAGCTTCATGACTTGGAGGGAACCATTCAAGCAGATATCTTGGTCCTCTCACAAGGTACAACACATCCAAGTCAACCTTCCAAGTTCAAGTTCATTCTGGGGTGTTTTTTTCCAAGCCAACTCTTCGGTAAACTGCCGTTAGTCCTCCGATGTAACGCTTGAATCTGCTGCAACTCCTTGGTAAATGAAACGTTCTCATGAATCTACAGCCCGGGAAGCTTGGGTGGAGGCCTTTTGCCGAAAAAGCGATTAGCAACTGCGAAGGCCGGCAGGTTATCAGGGTCTTAACCTGTCCACCCTGGCTGTTTTTTGAACTTTTTTTTCCTCATTTGGGCCAACCTGGCAAGATGTTGCAGTGCTGGTCTTCGTGTTGATCTCTCCATGTCTCTCAACTACTGTCCAAGCTTGCCAGTGAAGCAAATCCATTCTCCACTGTGGGTGTGCTATAGCCCTTCTATGCCTGTGGGTGGGGTATAGCCCTTAGGGTTATGCTCAATGTCGCATGGCTCAGATGAAACAGTGAAGTGAGCTTCTCTATTTGATTGAACGGTGGGTTGACATGCTTATCATAAGCTGCAGTCCAGGGTGTTGCAGCTGCACCCTGCTACCCGTAGGCTGTGATTGCTCAAGAGTAGGATTAGCATGAAGGCATTGATCCAGAGGCAGGTTAGGGTTATGGGTTATGGGCACAGTCGAATGGACCTTGTAGTTAGACCGCCACTACATGAGACCCTCCTGCGGACCTCTGACATCTTTTTGCATCATGATTCGCAAACGAATCTACGCAGGGGCCGACATTCAAAACATGGTCCCCTCATTAAACATCACATTCATTCTTGTCACATAGTGGGGGCTTAATGCACCAGTACATGCCAGCTATAGGCCACGGGCCCCTTTTGGAGGCCGCCCACAGCCGATTCATTTGATCTACAGCGCTGGGCCTCCTATTTTTTTTTCGGAGAGGCTCAAAACAGGTTCTCCAGTTCCCTGGGGCCATGTACTGGTGGTTTAAGATCGAATGTAGGGGAGAGGGGAATCCCACAGCTAAGGTATTAGGGCTATGCTAGCCTGATGCCATGATTGGCAAGAAAGCAGAAATTTAAAGCTGTCGAATCTCTGGATTTTGGAGTGGGGCATAGGGCTTTAGGGACATGCTCGTGGTCTATTGGACGTTGTAGTTGAGTCGGAATGTAGAGGGGGAGAGGACTTGAAAGATTCCTGACATTGATCTCCACTCAGGGATCCACAGCGCAGAGAAAGACGAAAGCGGATGTTAGGGGTTGAGACACATAGGTCCACGTGAAAGGGGCGAGACCTTTGTCAGATAAAAGCAGCAGCCCAGACCTGTGATATACATGTGCCCCTATTATGCCTTCTTTTTTTCACCTCTAACTGGACCTACGACTTCCGCTGGACCCCTGGAGTAGCCAATGTGAAGCCCAATTATCATGGACTTTTCCTCCCTTCCACTGACTTTTCGATTGGCAGCTCTCATGGGACCTTGATATCCCCTTTCTGATATTATTGACCCTAACCCGCACGGCCTTTCTGCAACCCAGATTAACCGGTGAACACACCGGTCAGGGGGACCTACCTCACGATTCGCTGTACACTACTGAGCTATAGCTATAGTTGTGCGTAATGCGCTCAATTGGGTTACCAGGGTCCGCTTAAGTGGTTTGAACTTGCATTCACTCAAACCACAAGTACTACTATAGGTTCGAAAATTTGCCTCTTTCGAGGTTGCAGATGGGCTTGGTACAGGTCCCATGGGATGGCCAGTATAGGCAACAGGCCAAGACAGGCCCATGGGAGGGGTGGTACAGACAACAGGCCAAGACAGGCAGCCTCCCTGGCTGTGGCTGACTAGACCCAGCAGTAGAGGGCATGGGCTAGGTTTCACAGCCCAGGTTTGGAGGTAGGGCTCAGTTTGTGGAGGCTAATCGCTTGATAGCTACTAAAACAAGCCCGATGGGGTGAACTCGGCCTTCAAAGCTCGTCGGCGTAAATGCTTCAAGCTCACATTACTTCCAAGAAATAGGCTTGCGGGCTCTAGCCCTTAGTAAAGTTTTCGCCTTGCCAGCATGACAAGGTCTGTTCCAAAATGATAGAGCAAAGGTAGCACGAATGTTTGCTTCTTTCCATCCAGGTAACACTCCCAGAGTTAGTTGTCAGTTACCATGAACCTGGCCTGCATTCAGACCTGGTTCGTATTAACTATTTAGTATTTACCCTCGACAGTTCTGATTCATGCGAGACCAACCTCCGGTCCACACTGGCAGGCAAATAAATGTAAGTCTCTCTGTGAACTCTGTTGCTTTTATAACCCCCACAGACACCCAGCTACCACAGGGGCTTCTTTAATGTCCCATTTATTGTGACATTACCACACCAAAGGGCGTCCAGGCTTTATAGATAACCAGCTCCATCAACACCCAGTTGTTGTGAGATGGTGAACTTTGAGGATGAGGACTGCTGTGTGATTGGGTTTCTCCTGTGACAGAACTACCAAATAAGAAAAAAGCTGAAGAAATTCTTGCTAAGAGAGAAGGATGGCATTCAGCTTTGTAGACATGGTGAGCCGTGAGCTGTTCCGACTTTCCTATGAGAGAATGGTGAAAGTGAGAAAGAACTCCATGTAGAAGGCACATGCATACATCCAGGTTTTCAAAGCTGCAGAGAAATCAAATCGGTCTCGGTTTCCTCTGTGTAAGTCATGAGCCTTCACAGGTTAACGCGATGGTGGCTTTGACGGTAAAAATTTGGTCTTATCCTGGTGAAACCTCTCCACCAAGGTGATGTGTAACTTCTCGGTTGTTTAGGTGAGGTTTCACCCTTTTGGTGAAGCCGGTGAGTGTTCACCCTGGTCACCCGGTGAGGTTTCACTCTGCTGATGAAGCCGGTGAGGTTTCACCCTGGTGGAGAAGCTTCACGAGCATTGCCAGGGTGAGACCGTGGCAAAAGGATCAAGAAGCACCCTGGCGATGAAAAAAAAAAGCTGGGTCAGGTTTTAACTTAGTGAGGTTTCACCCTGCTGGTGGAGATGGTGGTGAGGTTTCAACTTGGTGAGGTTTGACCCTGGTGGAGAAGGTTCACACACTTCGCCAGGGTGAGACCTCCTCGGCAAAACGATCAAGAAGCAATCCCCTTGAAGCGTACTACATACGAATAAGATGATGCCATGAGTGCTGGTGAGGATTCAACTTAGCGAGGCTTCACCCTGGTGGAGAAGCTGGTCTTGAAAACTCAAATTACAATTCTGCTTATAGAGGATTACATTTCGCATCTTGAACTACAGTTGCATCAACATGGCAATACCGTGCGTCACACCGCCTCCCTCTACTGCTCAGTCTGAATATGAGCACTCGCTCCTTCGTGGTGATGTTTCAACTTAGCGAGGTTTCACCCCGCTGGTGAAGATGGTGGTGAGGTTTCGCCCTGCTGGTGAAGATGGTGGTGAGGTTTCACCCTGCTGGTGAAGATGGTGGTGAGGTTTCAACTTGGTGAGGTTTCCACCCTGGTGGAGAAGCTTCACACCCTTCGCCAGGTTGAGACCTCCTCGGCAAAACGATCAGGACGCGATCACCTTGAGGCATACTACGTTATCTACATACGAATAAGACGATGCCAGGAGAGAGCTGTGCAAAACAGCAGGAGACGTCCTTGTGGTATGAACGATGTGTGTAGAGTCCGATAAGGGATCTCCCCCACTCCACTGATCAGACAGTGAGGGTTTTAACCGGCAAGACAGCCACAAGGGTTTACTTGAAGTGTTTGACGAGGGAGGGTTCAAGAGGAACGCACGGATTTCACATATGGCCCAGCATCGGCAGTCCAAGGAAATGGTTTAGTATCTCCTAAGTGCTGCCAGAATGTCAAGCAGGCTAAGCTGGTACCGCTAGTTTGACTGGCTTTCCCTATATCTGAAACACGAGCTGGAAACATATCGGATTGCATTACTCCTGCCTTTGTGTGGCACCTTATTTCGTTTACTTTGAGTGTGAAGCACGAGTGACCTACCCGTGTGCTTTTTCTTGAACCGCGACTGGCAATTCAGGCAGTGTGGTGAAGTAGCTCCCATCTTGTGCGACTTACCATTTCATCCAGAGAGAGTGGTGTGCGACGTGTCCTTTTGACCACCAAGTGGCGTGCGACTTATCCTTTCGTCCAGGGAGTGCAAGTTGCAGTGGTTGGTGGCTTATCCCTCGATCAGAAAGCCATTCGAGATTTAGCCCTTTTGGAGAGGAGCCATCCTGACACTGGCGACAGAGGCGAACCATCCAGACACTGGCGACAGAGGCTTTACTGTGTCGCTCGTAACGACACGATATGTTGAGAAGAAGGGCAAAGGCTATAGAGTAAAGATGACATGTGGCGCTCAGATCAGGGTTTGAGCTAATGATCTGTTTTTTCAACCGAAAAAATGTGCTGCATGATCCCTTGATCGTGTTGCTCGTAACGACTCGATATATGTTGAGAGGAAGGGTAAAGGATGTTGCCACAATAGAGTAAAGAATCTGATGGCATGTGGCGCTTAGATCAGGGTTTCAGCTCATGATCTCTTTTGCATGATCTCTTCATCGTGTTCCTCGTAATGGCACGATATGTCGAGAGGAAGGGTAAAGGCTGTTGTCACAATAGAGTGAAGATGACATGTGGCGCTCGGATGGGTCTATTTTATCAACAGAGAAATGCGCTGCATGATCTCTTTGTCGTGTTGCTGGTAAGGGCACGATATGTTGAGAGGAAGAGTAAAGGCTGTTGTTACAATAGAGTAAAGATGACATGTGGCGTTCGGATCGGGGTTTGAACTCGTGGTCTATTTTATCAACAGAGAAATGTACTGCATGATCTCTTTGTCGTGTTGCTCGTTAAGACACAACAAGATGTTGAGAGGAAGGGTAAAGGGATGTTGTCACAATACCGTAAAGATGACATGTGGCGTTTGGATCGGGGTTTGAACACGTGGTCTATTTTATAACCAGAGAAATGTGCTGCATGATCTGTTCTAAAGTTTTATTCTCTTGCTCGTAACGACATTTCACTTGCCGACAAAACTATGGTGTATGCGACTTGGATCTTTAAGATGTTTTTGAGGGGGTAAAGGCTGTTTGATATTGGAAAAGAAGCCGCAAGCTGAACTCTTTCGGAAGCCATGACTGGGCATAACAAAGAGCAAGCAAGCACTGAGATCACCCGCGAGTTGCACGAGTTCTTTTGCCTGATTTATGTCTGATTATTCAATTCCTAGCTTGGTGAAGTGAAGTGAATGCAAGAAGGGATTCAGTGCCTGCCTGTCCAAATTTCGTAGGGACCTTGCTGGCATAGAAGTCGTCGCCGGAAACGTGAAGGTGATGATGGATGGATCTTACAGAGTTTCCTTACACCGAACTCACCGTCTCTTGTCACAATAGCGGGAAGTTGACACGTGGCACTTTGATCAGGGTTTGAACACATGATCTGTTTTATCGACAAGGCAAAATTTGCTACGTCTGAGTCAATTCAGCCACAAAGGTGAATGGTATAGAGAGGGGATGTGCGCATCTTAGGGGCAGGCACATTGGTAGTATGTTCATGCTTGGAAAGCGCGAATCGGGTTGTAATAGTGGCCAGGTTCTTGCTTGCATAGCATTGAAAATGACACCCTAGATAGGGTAGGTACCTTGGAAACGCCGGCAAGTCTTTTTTTGTTTTGTTTTTTTTGGTTAGGATTAGCTCTGCTAAACACTCTCTGTGTGTTGCAGAAAGGAGGCCCTGTTGGAGCATGTGTTTAAGAAGAAAAACAAAAAAAAAGGGAGGCCCGGTGTTTAGGCTTGCTTAGTGGCGGGTTGGCGTGTTCCAAACGAAGAACAGAAAGGCATTCGATATATCCATTGCGCCTTGGGCTTAATTGCAGGAGTTGCGGGGGCTTGTTGAAAAGATGATATCAATCAGTTTCCATTGCAGTGGGGCTAGCACTTTTGCTCTGCCTGGTACACCAGCTTCTGCATCTTCTTCTTCTTCTTCTTCTTCTTCTTCTT